GGGGGGGGGGGTATTTTCCTTAATATATCCATAATCAAAGTATATGAGAAATCAAAGTACCATAACTTTGGATATGAAACTTTTAGCTAATTTAGGATATTTATATTATAAATTACCCAGAACTCCCAATAAGGAGGTAGTTTATGTATTATGTATTGTTTCTTAGTATTAAATTTTTTCATGATTTTGCGAGATTGAAGTTTTACTTCAATGAATCCCTTTCTTCTGTGATAGCCACAAACAGCTGCTGAAGCTTCAGTTACTATTTTAACATGCCTTTCAACTGCTTGTGTGTGACACAGCATGCTGAACTTCAAAACTGACAGGTCATCTTGATTAATGAAAGACACCAACTATTCATTGGTCATATTTTTTGTAATGTTGTAAGTGGTGACTGTACTCTCAGTCAACATTATTAGATCAGTGTAATGTTGTATTAATGTTTGGAACCACATATTGTCTCATTGTGTTAGAATTTGAGGTAGAATGAGCAACAAATATCTTACGAAGATCAAGTTGTCTGATAGCCTTAGAATCGTCTCCAAGCATTGCAAGCAGCAAATTTTCTGGGTGAGAAAAATATGCATTTCTCCGCATGACTCTATCCACTACATATTTCTCTGATTCAGGAAGAAAACGTGATTTTCTTAAAAGTAGAAAAAGGTGCAGTGCGCGATGGCTGCATAGGGATTTTTTCTTTATATTAAACCAAACTATTGCATACACTTCAATTACATACCTCACTAACAAACTAAGCATCTTGGATGGGTTAGCAGTTGCAACATAAAGGTGCAAAATCCTGTTTGTTGTTGTTAACCAGCAAGAATGGTTCATTGTAAAGTCACGTAAAGCAAGTTCTCTTGAACAATGACTCAACACTACCGCATTGTGCATGTCATACAAATAGTTTTGATCTGTACTAAGATCTTCAGGATGATCAATTTTTGGTAATGGTTCTGTAATTTCGACTGAAACAAAGTTTACTGAAAGCAGTGATTCACAACTCTTCAGTTTCTTTCCAAGAGGACCTGAAAAAGTATTGACGTACGTAATGTCGCAGCCTACAGTGACTAAATGATCAGATGAAATTTTCTCTTCAAACCACTGAATGATAGAATTTTTTATACCTGCTGATGTTCCAGAAGAAGGATAAATGTGATCCATGAAAATTGATTCAGGTTTACTGACCAAAGTTATGTACTGTTCCATGACTACACATTTATAATGCTTTTGCCCATTCTTAATGACAATTTTAGTTATATCTTTTCTATCACCAAAGTAGATACATTTAATACAATTTGATTCATCACAAGTCAATAATGTTTCTCGGTATTTTACTCGTTCACGTCATATCTTGTTTTTGTTGACAATTTTAGCATTGTCATTTTCTTGAATAGTGCCCATGTTTTCCAAAACAGCTGAGGTAAGGGCTGCAGCAGTTCTATCCGAAATACAGGACCTGTCAGCTTCTCTCAATATCGTTGCAAGCAGTGTCTTCATTTGTTTATTTATTTTAGGATTTTGCAGATAATTTAGTATTAACGTCTCTATCACCTCTATTCATAAAAATCATAAACCAGTATTCCATATTTTAATGAATCTTTATTATGGTTAGAAAGTGGGATAGCATTATATACATTGTATGATATTTGTAAAAAAATATGTTATAGTAATACTCCAACTGCTAAACAAAGTGACGTACGGACCTTTGAATATGTTGTAAACTCTATCAAAGATAGAAATGTTTAATTTTCATTTGAAAAAAATTAAAAATACTATGCAATATGCTCTTGATATTTATGTGAAAGGAGGGCTCAAAGTTTAGAATGCAAAGAGGCTTACTTTTGTGGTGACCAGACTAGTCTT